ACAATATCGACGCCCACAACTACTTTGTGTTCTACTCGTGCAAAGAATCTACGCAATAGACCTAGCTCATGATGCCACTGTTGGGGAACGTAGCAGAAATTCAAAATTTTCCTACGTAGCACCAAGATCTATCTATGGAGAGACCAGCAACGAGTAGAAAGGAGAGTGCATCTACATACCCTTGTAGATCGCTAAGCGGAAGCGTTCAAGTGAACGGGGTTGATGGAGTCGTACTCGTCGTGATTCAGATCACCGATGATCCTAGTGCCGAACGGACGGCACCTCCGCGTTCAACACACGTACAGCTGGACGATGTCTCCCACGCCTTGATCCAGCAAGGAGAGAGGGAGAGGTTGAGGAAGACTCCATCCAGCAGCAGCACAACGGCGTGGTGGTGATGGAGGAGCGTGGCAATCCTGCAGGGCTTCGCCAAGCACCTACGGGAGAGGAGGAGGTGTCACGGGAGGGAGGGAGGCGCCAAGGGCTCAGGTATGGATGCCCTCCCTCCCCTCCACTATATATAGGGGCAGGGGAGAGGGGGGAGGCGCAGCCTTGCCCCCTCCTCCAAGGAAGGGGTGCGGCTAAGGAGGGGGGAGGAGTCCATCCTCCCCAAGGCACCTCGGAGGTGCCTTCCCCCTTTAGGACTCTCCCCTTTTTCCTTTTATCTTGGCGCATGGGCCTCTAGGGGCTGGTGCCCTTGGCCCATGTAGGCCAAGGCGCACCCCCTACAGCCCATGTGGCCCCCGGGGCAGGTGGCCCCACCCGGTGGGCCCCCGGGACCCTTCCGGTGGTCCCGGTACAATACCGATGACCCCGAAACTTGTCCCGATGGCCGAAACAGGACTTCCTATATATAAATCTTTACCTCCGGACCATTCCGGAACTCCTCGTGACGTCCGGGATCTCATCCGGGACTCCGAACAACATTCGGTAACCACATACAAACTTCCTTTATAACCCTAGCGTCATCGAACCTTAAGTGTGTAGACCCTACGGGTTCGGGAGACATGCAGACATGACCGAGATGTTCTCCGGTCAATAACCAACAGCGGGATCTGGATACCCATGTTGGCTCCCACATGTTCCACGATGATCTCATCAGATGAACCACGATGTCAAGGACTCAATCGATCCCGTATACAATTCCCTTTGTCTAGCGGTATGGTACTTGCCCGAGATTCGATCGTCGGTATACCGATACCTTGTTCAATCTCGTTACCGGCAAGTCTCTTTACTCGTTCCGTAACACATCATCCCGTGATCAACTCCTTGATCACATTGTGCACATTATGATGATGTCCTACCGAGTGGGCCCAGAGATACCTCTCCGTTTACACGGAGTGACAAAATCCCAATCTCGATTCGTGCCAACCCAACAGACACTTTTAGAGATACCCGTAGTGTACCTTTATAGCCACCCAGTTACGTTGTGACGTTTGGCACACCCAAAGCACTCCTACGGTATCCGGGAGTTGCACAATCTCATGGTCTAAGGAAATGATACTTGACATTAGAAAAGCTTTAGCATACGAACTACATGATCTTGTGCTAGGCTTAGGATTGGGTCTTGTCCATCACATCATTCTCCTAATGATGTGATCCCGTTATCAACGACATCCAATGTCCATGGTCAGGAAACCGTAACCATCTATTGATTAACGAGCTAGTCAACTAGAGGCTTACTAGGGACATGGTGTTGTCTATGTATCCACACATGTATCTGAGTTTCCTATCAATACAATTCTAGCATGGATAATAAACGATTATCATGAACAAGGAAATATAATAATAATCAATTCATTATTGCCTCTAGGGCATATTTCCAACACCCCCCGCCGTCGACGCTCACGTCCTTGTCACCGTTAGTCGCAGAAAAAAGTTCGCCAATAGCAGATTTTTTTCATACTCCGTTGCAGCCATGGGTAGCCACCTCTAGTCGCCGGCCGCAGCACTGGTCCTTGCTGGTGACATCACAACACTTCCTCCTGCCCCTCGTTGCAACATCGTGTCTCGCCGGTCCCTGGAAAAAAATGCACCGCCAATCACAGCTTTGCGTTTAGCCGGTGTTGCCCCATGGTTGCAGCATCAGTGGAGATGATGACGTACTCGCAACCCTCACTTTTCTCTTGTTCCAGCAAAAATTGACATCAGCAGCATTTTTGTGTCGCTGGTTGCAACTCTGTCATGCTCTGGATGTATATTCACCATAGTTGGTTGCAACTCTGTCACGCTCTGGTTGCAACTCTCTCTGATTCCAGCATAAATTTGCAGTGGTTGTAGCATTTTTACTGGTCGTTGCAGCTCCCTTATTCTCTCTGGTTCCAGCAAAATATGGTGTCATCCATTGCATTATTCCCACAGGGTTGCGGCGGATCCCATTTGCCCATTGCAGCTCCGCCATAGCCTGTTGCACTTATCGTTCGAACGGTTCCAGCAAATGTTGACTCGTGATCACAACTTCTCGCTGGCCGATTGCGGCAATGCAGATTGGTGGTCGGAACTTCTCTCTCGGCTAGTTGCAGCAACGACGGTGGTCGTCTCCGGCACCTATAGATCACAAATGGTGATGATGCATCGCGTTTGCATCCCGGGTGATTGCGGCTTGATAGCCTTTTAGTTGTCAGTTGTAAGTCCCCCGTGTCAACCTCTTGTAGCCTCGAAGACAACACTCACCACGACAACGGTCACCGGTGGCAGTGCTAGCCTAGAGGGGGGCATCCAAAAAGTGGTGTGGCTGGCTTGCAGTAGTCACCCCCGGTAGTGCACCACTGCCGGTCGGGATGGAAGTTGTACCAGCAATCGGCATTTGCTGGAAATAGTGGTGGCCCGCAAAAGCAAAAACGTTGATGCGAACACGAATCGCTATGCGGGCGAAGCGTGTGCATGCGATTGGCGGAGTGTTTAGCCGACAGACCGTTTTTGGCTTGCTAAGCCGATTGTTCCATTGTGCCACTTCTGCTATGGACTCGAGCTACTCTTTGGCTTGAGGCATGTTAGCAGTGGAGTTGCTAGGGAGCAGGCTTTGCAGTCTTTTTAGTGTTCGGTTTACTGGTTCATAATTTAGAATAGTAGAGGACATGACACGTGTCTCACGGATGAAAAAGTAATTTCAGTCAATCTTGATTTCAGCTCGTTAAACTTAACAAGCTTAGCTTAACGAACAAGCTAACGAGTTTCGCGAGCAACTCGTTAGTACATCATAACACGTAATTTTATCGTACGTCATAATATTTCATGGCATATACCGGATCCATCTACTCAACCTAATTGATCTAATCTAACTCGCGGGAGAAAGCAAACTAGCGCACCTCCTCCTATAGTCATCACACTCCTTCATAAGAATTACACCCACACTCTGACCTCATAGGCCATAAGGCCCGTAACACATTGTAGTCTGTTAATGAGCGCTCGTGAGCTTAACAAGCTTTAAATGAACAGAGCCGAATAAAGTTTTTTTCTCTCGTTAACAAGCTTAACAAGTCGAGCTTTAGGCTGGTCGTAATGGTAGTATCATAACTAGTATCATGCATGCCAATTAGGCAGTTTTGATGAGGTGTCATAGTATTAAATGAAGAAAGAGAGGGTGGAGTATCATATCATGATACCGTATCATAATAAATGCTACGCTACTTTGTGTCATGCATGTCAATAAATAGAATACCACGTGATATTAATATGTGATACTATGCATTAGGGAGGTAGTATCATACACTAGTATCATATGCATGATACTAGTATATGATACTCCCCATTACAACCAGCCTTAGTGGGTACGAGGTTAACGAGCCGAAGATTAACTAGTCGAGTAGCATAGCACTCACAACTGTGACCAAACAAAAACTATGCCCAGAATGAAAGCAAAGGGAAGCCAGCGGCAATTGAGGAGTAAACTGGAACATGCAAAACTTTAATTGAGACTCCCTCCAACCCCCTTTTCCCAAAAGTGAAGCAAGCAAGCAACACATTACAAAAAGATGAGATGAGATCATACCAGTACATTGGTAATTCTACCCATCTACAAAAGGTTGGGAGGTCCAGCAAAGGTTTGGCGATGCATTGCTCATAAGTAGCACTCCATCTTTTCCTTAAGCATGCATGTGGGGGGAGACCTTTATTTAGCCTAAAGTCTCCAAGATTTGCAGCGGCATCAAGCACATTGTGAATTAATCTCACTAGAATGAAAAGCACACTTTATCATTTTTGTTAATGGAAAAGAAAGAGCCCAAAGGCCAAAAGAACTATTATTACTCACTTTATCATTTTTCATTTAACAGAACAGAAAAAAAAAAGTCCAAAAGAAAAGAGTAGTACTGGCTGGGAATGAGCAGGCAGGCAGGCAGGCAGGCAGAGGGGGCCAAACCACACTCCCCACCCCACTCCACTCCCCCCATCCCGCTACTGCGCGTGCTCCCTCCCCGTCGCCTTTCGCCGCCGCCCCTCCGCCCCCTTTCCCACCCCCCTTTCCTCGCTCCATCCTCCCGTGATCCGCGCCCGCCCGCAGGCCGCCCCCTGCCCGCTCCTCGGAGGAGGATTGGTTCTTGGCAG